AGAGAGAGAGAGAGAGAGAGAGAGAGAGAGAGAGAGAGTTCAAGCGATGTCTTAGCTCAGGATGATGTGCATGTGATATTGACAAGCGATGAACACAAATAAGATGTGCTGCTCGTCTATATGAAAAACATTGGTTTGTTTGTTTGTTTGTTTGTTTGTTTGTTTGTTTGTTGTTTTCTTTTTGCAGATAGCTCTTGACGGCACGCGCTTATTTCTTTCTTTTAAAAAAAAAATCAATCCTTTACAAGTACTGTTGTATCAGTTTGTCAGTATTAACTGTAAGCAAGTAAGATTTTTCGGAGTGGTTATCAGAATCGTCAAAGAATTGTATTCGCAAAGCATAATAACATGTCGTGAAACTCAATTTTCTTAACGTCAAAATTCACAAAATTGGATACTGAGCAGGTAGATCTTTGTAATTCTAGGGTAGCGAACTGGCCTGAGTATCAATTAGAGCTGGGCGAAGAATCGTTTCGGAACCGATTCCCACGATTAATGCTGCGGACGAAAAGTTCCGACTCCTTTTTATATAAACGAGCGGTTACCGGTTACTTTACATTAAAATCTTTTTTTTAAAGACAATTTATTTTTGAAAAAGCAAAAAAAAAAGCTGATGCTTCGTAGTGTTCTGAAATCAAGGTTATCCTAAATCCTGAAGATGTTCGGAGCAAACCAATTTACCACCCGAAGAAATCACATCATTAGCAAGTAAGTAGTTGGGTTCGGAGTCGATTCCTCCGATTCCTAACTTTCAATAATTGGGAACCGAGCCGCCCAGCACTAGTATCAATACGCAAAGTCTTCTCTTTGTCTTTGTTAACCCCCATCCGTACGCCCCAGGGGTAATTTTGTACCCCCGGGGTTGTATTCTTTACATTTTAGAATACTTCTAGTACAAATATCTCTGAAATGTTAAGTATTTCTCAAAAAATAATTTTGACAGACTTCTATGCAAAGCATACGGATCGGATTTACGAGTAAAATTCCTCTTTGGGAAGTGGTGGCACAAAGTTCCCCACGTTGTATGGATACGATAGTAAAGCACAGCGTACGGACAGGGTTAAAAAGTAATCAAATTAAGTTTAAAAAATGAGATGACTTATAGTGTACCTTCTATCACGTTGTCACTCTGTACGGAACTAAACGACACAAGAGAGAATTGAGGGGTTTTTTTCATACTCTTTCTACTTTCCTTGAAGCTATAACTTGCCTGCGCA